GAAAATTGATGTAATCACTCAGCTCAGCAATGGTTGAGTGTCCACTGTGCATAAAGCTCTGTTCTGGGTGTGGGGATTCAGGAATGACAGCAAAACAAAACAAAACAAAACAAAACAAAAAAGAACGTTTGTTCTCAAACATAAACCCATTATCCAATGGCAACTGTTATTAAGGGCTAAGATAAATGAAGTTGGACAAGGAGAGCAGATAAAGTGAGCAGGGAAGTGGCAATCTTAATAGCAGCACAATAAGGAAGTCTTCATGCAAGCCTTGAGCGAGCCTCGCATGAAATAAGGGAGTGAGTCACAGCATTTGAGATGTATTTTATATACATGTAAGTGTCCTTGCAAATGTCTGAAGGGAGAATGTTGGGGTTCACTTGTGGACTAGGCATCTGCGTCTGCCTTCTTAGGAGTTTGACCTGGACGTGGTGGCTATGGTTAATGACACAGTTGGAACTATGATGACCTGTGGCTATGAAGACCCTCACTGTGAGGTTGGCCTCATTGTTGGTAACGTTATCAACCATCCTCCCCACAGGGGAGGGGGGTAGAGCCTTGGATGGGTGGGAGGCTGGAGCTGAGTGAGACCTGGTGTCCCTGTGATTGGCAGGCATGGGTAGCAATGCCTGCTACAAGGAGGAGATGTGCAACGTGGAGCTGGTGGATGGAGAAGAGGGGCAGATGTGCGTCAACATAGAGTGGGGGGGGCTTTAGGGCAATGGATGCCTGGACGACTTCCGCATGAAATTTGACAAGGCTGTGGATGATCTTTCGCTCAACCTGGGCAAACAGAGGTAGGCACCCAACTAGGTGAGGGCCTTGTATCCCAGAACTGGACAGCAATGAGTGATTGGAGACTCCACCATAGCATTTGCAAGGACGCTTATTATCTTGAGATGACAATGGGTTTCTTAGAAAGTTCTGAGTTAGTAAACATGAGGAAGCTGCTTCCACCTCGAGGCTCGGGAAAGCAGAGGTGGGGGTGGGATCAAAACCTAGGGCTGAGTCTGTGAGGGGAAAATGATGAGTGGACCACTGCTGATGCCACGGTAAAACAGCATTGCTGGGGCACCCACACAGGAGCAAATCCTTTCTTCCTCCCCCAGCCATCCAGCGTCAAGCACCCTCTCTTGCCAGAACTGCTCAAGGGCCAGCATCACAAAGCTCCATGAGTGGTGGTGGTGGTGGTTGGGTGAGGGGAGGGTGTGAGCAGAGAGCACATGCTCAGTTTTGCTGAAGGTGGAGAATCCTGGATTGAACTGTGACCACCTCTCCCCACATTTGTGTATTTTTTTCCTAAATCAAAATGTTTATATCAACATTTTTATTTATAAACATAGTTTCAATATATTTGGACAGTATTATACACTATCTACATAGCAGCTACTTGATTTTTTTAATTTTTATTTTAATTTATACAGGACAGTAGAATGCAATTTGATACATCACACATAGTTGGAGCATAATTTCTCATCCTTCTGGATGCACATGAGGTAGAATCCCACTGGTTTTATAGTTATATATGTACATAGAGTAGTAATGTCTGATTCATTCTACTATTCTTTCTGTCCCCATAACCAACCCCCTTATTGTGAATTAGCATCCACATATCAGAAAAAACACCAGCCTTTGGTTTTTTGGGATTGACTTATTTTGCTTAGCTTATTCTCCAGCGCCATCCATTTACAAGCAAATACCATCATTTATCTTTAAGACTGAGTAATAGTCATATATATATATATATATATATATATATATATATTTTCTTAATATCAATCACATTTTTTTATTCATTCATCAATTGAAGGGCACCTAGGTTGGTTCCATAGTTTAGCTATTATGATATAATGAGTTGAGCTGTCACCACATTTATTTTAATGACCTAAGAGGCTCTTTGAGTCTGCACTATTAGTGAAAAGAGGGGGAGGGACCTCCAAAAATCCACGTCCCTCTCCTCAGTGATAAGTCTCATTGTAAAAATAGGAGTCTTGGCTCCAGATGAGGGTTGGGAAAGGGACTTTTATTCAGCTTTCTCTTCCTGTCAAAAAATACATGTGATAATCAACTTATAAAGAGGAAAGGGTTATTTTGGCTCACAATTTCAGAAGTTTCAGTCCAAGACTGGTTGGCCCTGCTGCTTTGGGGCCTGTGGAAAAGTAGCACATGATGGCAGGAGTGTGTGTGGAGCCAAACTGCTCACCTTGTGACTGGAAAGTGGAAAAGAAAGAAAAAGGAAGACCAGAGTCCCACAATTTCCTCCAAAGGCATAGCCCCAGTGACCTAAAAACCTCCCACCTCTTACATGAGGGACATTTAGATCCAAACTGTAACAGGGATAGAAACCTAGCTCTCGACCCTGGGACCGGGCATCCTAAGCTTCACAGATGAGAGGGCATCCTGACCCTCTTGGATTGGGATGGGTAGGATGGTGACTGTCTCTTTTTCCAGTCCCATAGGAAGATGATCTGTGACCTCTGTAATGTCCTAACAGAAACCCTATACATCTGCCCCTCTTGCCTTCAGTGGCATTTTGGAGTCAGTGTAGATCTGATGTGAAGTAATAACCCTTGGAAAATATAGAAACCACATGCACAGGATTTGGTCCTCCCCTGCAGAGGAGGTTACACACTTCTGCAAGACTCATAGGTGGCTCACAGGACTGTTGAACTTCTTTCACTGATTAATTTTAAGAGCACAGTTCACCAGAATCCCAAGGCATTTGTCCTAGAGTGAAATTTTAGCTCTCTTGAGCTAAGAGCTAAATGGGTACACTGTGATATTGAACTTGGACAGATTATTAGCATCTCCCAGGCTTAATTTTCTGGTACAAATAAATAGACCCACAGTGTAGCTGTCGTGCTCCTCCTCTTAATTACTTGTGTGTTGCCAACATTACTTCTCACCTCTGAGCACACAAATCTGTCATGATTAAGGTGCTTTGTTCTTTTGTCTTTCTCTCCCTTTTTCCAGTTTTGCCAAATCATGCATGAGACTGTGAAGGACCTGGCCCCCAAATGTGAAGTGTCCTTCCTGGAGTCAGAGGACGGCAGTGGGAAGGGGGCTGTGCTCATCACTGCCGTGTCCTGTCGCACCCGTGAGCTTGTCAGTGATAGAACCCCCAAATTCAGAAGGGACTTCTCTGCTTCCCCCTCTTCCATGTTTTAAATTATAAGGAGTCATCTTCTTGTGTCAGAGACACAGTCCCCTCAGCTTTTCCTTGGCAGAGAGGACCCTGTCGGATTGGGATTTTTTTTACATTCATTGTAAAGTTTTGTGCCCAAGTCTTGGCCTTCCTGAGATACAGAAGCCAGGACTGTTCATACTGGTCACAACCATTCCCATTGGTTCTCAAACAACTTAAAAAAATAATAATAATCCTTAGCACCCCTCCCTCCTCCTGGAATTCCACATCTCTGTGGAAAATTGCTTGACAATAACTGAGAAAGGAAAAAGATCAAGGCTAAGAGAATAATAGAGCCAATGATAAAGAAAAAATTAAAATTAGTTCCTATTGTTTTTAACAAAGTGGTGATGGTGAGACTATGGGAGTATAAGTTGGTAAATTGGTCAAAGTATAAATTGGTAGAACCTGTTCAGTGGGGAAATAGGTGATGTGTGTGTGTGTGTGTGTGTGTGTGTGTGTGTGTGTATATGTTTTACATAATTTTCCAGAAATTTGTGCTAAGGAAATACACATTGGGAACTAAGTTTTTGACTATTATATGGTTTATAATAGCTAAAATTAATCTGTTTGGCTCACCCTGTTTCAGAGTCCAGATAGTAAAAACAATTGTCTCCAGTTTTTCCAAATATTATAATTTAGTGATGTGATTAAACAGGTGATGGAAAGTGGAGAAGCCAAATACTACAGAGAAGCAACCCAGACATTATGACATCAAGAAAAGTTGCTTCTGAGACTGGAGTTGTAGCTCAGTGGTAGAGCGCTTGCCTAGCTAGCATGTGTGAGGCATTGGGTTTGATTCTCAGCACTGCATAGAAATAAATAAAAAATAAAGGTCCATTGACAACTAAAAAAAAGCTGCTTCTGGAGGATTGCATGTTCAAAGCCATTCTCAACAATTTAGCAAGTCCCTGAATAACTCAGTGAGACCCTGTCTCTAAATAAAATACAAAAAGGACTGCAGATGTGGTTCAGTGGTTAAGCACCCCTGGATGTAATCCCTGAAACCAAAAAAAGGAAAAGGTGCTTCTATCCTGCTGCCTAGATCAGAGTGCAAAAGCTGGGGTGGGGGGCGAGTAAAGAGGCAGTAACTGGAACCACAAAACTGGGTGGGGGATGTAGAGATACCAGGGTTTCTCTCCCTCCCACCTTTTAGTGTTCTGCAGTGTTTCCTGATGGCTGAACCTAGTTGGTAAAGGGAGCCTGGGAAATACGATAAAGAGCAGGGTGGTGGGATGACTTGGACCCCAGCAATTAGCAAAGTAACTGGCATGTGCCCTACATTATGGTCTTTGATTAGACCATTATATGGAGTTATCAAAGAATATTATAGGCATTATAGAAGAATATTTAATAAAAAGGACAATGTTCAGAGGATGCTGCTTCATGCCCCCAGTGTGTTAGAACCTGAACAGTTGCCCTCTGAGCGAGCTGCATCCTGGGATCCAACGGATTGAGAATTGAAAATGTACTTAGGCCTTGATGTTTGCACATGTAAGCTCTTATCATACCTGGAACAATATAACAACTATTTACATTATATTAGATATTACAACTTGCCTAGACATCTATGTTCTCCTGTATGGGAAGATATGTGGAGGTTATATGCAAATACTATACCATTTTATATAATGGATTTAAGCATTCATAAATTTTAGTATCCTTGGAGAGTCCTGAAATCAATCCTCCGTGATGCCCAGGGATATGACTATATAATGATTCTATTGTTGTTAAAAACAATACTATATGACAGCAGGTGTAGTGGACTTCCCTGAATGTCCCCTCTGCCTCAATGATCTGTTGTGGTAAAGGCAGGCAGCCCCCTCCTCAGCAGCTCCCCACAGGTTTCCCACCCCTCTGGGCATCTGGGAGGCTTGGCCTTATCTGCCATTCCTAGCCTAGCTACTCCGTGCAATGTTGGTACCTGCCCTTGGGTCTCTGTGGGTTCCCTTAAAGCCTCAGAAGAGCTTCTCTGTCATTTCCCTTGTGGGGTGTGGGTTTGGAGTGGCATAGACCCTTAATTCTCCCCAAATCCTAATACTAGACAAGATGTTTAGCATATAATTTTCTAAATTTCTTAAGATGAATTCCTGCATGAGAGGGTCTCAGAGCCCTAGATTCTCCATGCTCATGCTCCACCCCTCACCATCGGGAAATTATTCCCTTCAAACAAGTATAAGGTCCGTACATCACCTACTCACATCTTAGAAATATCTTTTCTAGATTCATCCAAGACCATCCAACTTTTTCTTTCTTGGTTGCTTTGTTTTCTTACAGCATGGGCCCACAGGAGCAGAAAGCCACTGCTTTATCCTTTCAGGGTAATTTCTCATCATTGCACAAACTTTTTTTTGCTTTTTCATTTTCTTATTTCCTTTCATCCTCCACTTCCAAATGCCAACCATTGTGCTCCATGTGAAACTTATTTTGTATGTGTTTTGATGAAGCATATATTGCTTTGATGCTTTTTAATTTTATGTGTGTTTGTTTGTGATGCTGGGGGGCTGGCACCCAGGGCCTTGCAAATGCTATGCAAATATTCTATCACTGAATTACATCCCCAGCCTCTGTGTGCATTTTCTTAAAAAATACTAATTCTATTGGCTAAAAGACTCTTTCTGTCTCCCACCTCACAAAGCACCATGTTTTCAAAGGCCCAGGGGTGTCATGTGCTCAGCTAATGCATTATTTCCCATTGCCACAAATATCCCATTGTGTGCATATACTCACTCCGTGTTCCCATCCATCTTCTTAAAAGTGGTCATGTGCATTGACTCACTCTGGATACACAAACATGACAATGAGTGTCACTGCAATGAATTTCTTTGCACATAACTGCATAATTATCCTTGTGATCATCTCTCTGGGCATCTACCCAAGAGCAGGACAGCTAGATCATAGGATGTGCATTTGCCAAATTTGACCCCCACACTACCAGCTTACCCTCCTGAAAGGCTTTCCCTGCTGTCAGTCACCTGCACAAATCTCCACTAACATTTGGCATTGTCTAGACATCTATTCATCATTAATCTTATGAATGTAAAATTGAATTTTATTGTTGCTTGAATCTACATTTCTCTGGTAGAGAGAAATGCTGTGGGTTTCAGCATTTATTTATATGTGTTTGCTTTTGGATTTCCCTTAGTTGACTCCCTTTTAATATTTGTATTCAACCAGCATTCTTTTTCCCTTCTGATGCACTAGAACTCCTTATTTAATGCGGGTATCAATCCTTTGGGAGCTTTAGATATTGCAGGTATCTTCTAACCTGTTCATTGTGTCTATGGTGTCTTTTGTGCACTAGAAATCCTTTAATTTGGAGTAATCAAATCTTCCTATCATTTTTGTTTACAGTTTACAGTTTTGTGGGGTTTCTTTTGGTACTGTCAATTGAACCCAAGGGCTCTTAACCACTGATCCACGTTCTCAGCTCTTTTCATTTTTTAGTTTGAGACAGGGTCTCACTAAGTTGCTTAGGACCTTGCTAAGTTTCTGAGGCTTGCCTTGAACTTTTGACACTCCTAACTTGGCCTCCCGAGTTGCTGGGATTACAGGTGTGTGCCACCACACCTGCTTACTGTTTGTATAGTTGGTTCTTCTGAATTTTATCACCCTTAAGTCACTAAAATGGTCTTCTGTTAATTTTATTTATTGGTAATTTTTTGCCTTAAAGGATAAATGAATCCGTTGAAGAAGTTTGTTTTCTATATAATATTAAATAGGATTTAGTTTTTCTTTTCCCATGTTACTAGGGATTTATATCTTTTCTTACTGGCTTGGGACAACTTTTCTAAAATATATTAGGCTTGCAAGGTTGTATTTCTGAGTGTTCTGTCTCTCTAATTAATCCCTTTTGTTTGTTCTTGGGACAGTAACATTCTGTTTCTATTACCAGGGTTTGGTAGTGTGCCTAGTATCTAGCAGAGTTAGTATTCCCTTTTCTTTTTCAAAGTTGACTATGCTAGTCTTGGCCCTTTATTACTTCATGTAAAATTTAGAATAATAAGTAATCTCTGAAAATAATCTGCCTAAATTTTTGAATTTTGTATTTATTGATCATGGAGTTAAAATTAACATTTAACATTCACAAAAGCATTAAAATCTCTGTGTATTTATAATATCTTTTCTGTTATTTGTTAGAGTTTAAAAGTTTATAAAGATTTTATGAATTAAGTTAATGCCCATATCATTCATAGTTGCTGTGTGTGGTTCTTATGTTTTTGGTCGGTTATTATAAGTGTGTAACATAGGATTCTAACCTTAGAATCATTACTTTGTTGTATGTGTGAGAGGTACCATCTTTGGCATTGTAGGCTGTATAGCAGATGTCATTAATACCCCACCCCCAGTTTAGACGAGAATGTCTTCAGATGCTGAATGTTCCCTCAAAGTAGGATTGACAGATAAAATATAGGATACCTAGTATTTTATCCTAAATATTGCATGGGATATACTTACACTAAATAATTTTTAATCTGAAATTGTAACTTAACCAGGCATCTTATATTATTATTTTTTAAAAGTGTCAACTATACCTGAGAGGCAAGGAAATATACTGAAATTTTCCTTATAAATTTTTTTTTGTTAGCCAGGTGTGGGGGTGCATGCTTGTAATCCCAGCAGCTTGGAAGGCTAAGACATGAGGATCTTGAGTTCAAAACTAGCATTAGTAAAGGCGAGGTTCTAAGCAACTCATTGAAACTCTGTCTCTAAATAAAAAATACAAAATAGGGCTGGGGATGTGGCTCAGTGGTCGAGTGCCCCTGAGTTCAATCCCTGGTACCCACCAAAAAAAGTTTGTTATAGGTTTTTGGTAACAATTCCTGGAATTTCTTTTTCATTCTTGGTGTTTTAGACCATTTAGGTTGCTAATATAAAATTCCATTAACTGGTGACTTAGAAACAGCAGAAATTATAGAGT